GGAGGAAACAGGCTGGTGAATATGTTCATCTGTGTTCTGGCACATTCACAAATGAACAGAGTGGAGGAGGAAAGATCTGCAGTTATCAGGTCAAAATGAACATTGTGCTTCCCACAGAAAAGAGATTTCCAGGGCAAGTACCCTCAGATTTCACAGGAGCTGGTTCTGTAAGATCTACTCTTTCCAACACCCTGAATGATATTTGTGTAATTTGCAAAAGAGGAACAGAGTTGAAATTCATATCACAATTTATTAAATAATTGTTTTTCCTCTTCCTCATCTAGTAGCATTAAATAAATTTATATATATTTTCAGCTCAGCTGTATGTGTCAACTGGGTTGGGTGTACTTGGACACCATTTCACCGTCACTCTGGCCATCTCAAATCAAGTATATTTGGTCCTTTTGGTGCAGAGGAAACAGACTAGAAAAAAATGACAGGACAAAGGACACTGGTCACCTCTAGGCTATGGTGTTTTGGGTGAGTGCATTTTTTCTATTCATGCTCCTTTCAAAAACAGACTGTCCATGACAGTGAAGTCTATCATCTTATAAAAATGCAGTATATTCTAGGAGTTGAGAAATCTCATCAAGGAGAGACTCTTAATATAGATGTATGGCATAGTGTGACACTGGTATAGGATTGAGCTGTTTTCCAACATGGCAGAAAAGGATCTTGAGTGACATCCTGATTGTGTAACTCCACATTAGAAATGCATGGAGAGCAGAGAGATGATCTTTGTCCACCTTAGTGTAGAGGTTCAGAGAATGTGAAGTCAGTGTCCTAGAGTGGAGGGGAGAGAGGAAAGCCATTGGAGCCTGGGGCCTCGTGACGCCAGCTGCCAGCAAGATGACCATTTGAGTCTCTACCTGGTCTTTGGAAGGAGCAATCTCAGCCCCCAATGGGAAAAGACTGTTGGAGACCCCTTGAGGAAACCTAGCCTTAAAGGCCTTTGCCTTCTGCTCTGAGTTGAGCCCTCCCAACCTTTTCCTCCCATCATTTCCTGATCTCCCTTGGGTCCAGCTCACTGGGCAGTGGCCCTCAGGCCAGGGAGGAAATGGAAACAAGCTGTTGCTGAATTTTATGGTGTCTTGGGAGGTACATAAGTGGCACTGTGACACTCATCTCTACAAGCTATGAGTTTATATCTTGACCAACCATTCTGAAAGTGTGATGATTTGAGGAGGTGTCATTGCTATCTCCAATATGCAACACACACAAAAATCCTTAGATCAAGATGCTCAAGTGATTAAGCCACAAAGCTGTGTCAGAGAGGCCACACCCCCAATGCATGCCTGATATCAAGAGGCCATGTGTTGGCAAGGTTGGACATAGGGTGCTGCTTTTTTTAAGCAAGGAAGGAGGAGGTAGTTGTAATGGAGGGTAGGGGAAGAAGGGTTGGACTTTATGGAGCCATACTGCCATCAAGCGGAATCCTTTGAGAGTCCCCTGAATTACAATGTGAATGTCTGTTGTTGGGCCGACTGGGATTGGAGAAAACTGCAGGTTTCCCAAAAGAGAATGCCTTGACTTAAGCCTGGGCCTTCTGCAAAGCTCAGTGAGGCTTTGAGGCAAAGTCTGTGGGCTCTCCAGGGCCAGGAACCAGGAAAATAGCAGACAGCAGCTCAGCACAGAAAGCTGTTGGGCGGGGCCTTGGTGGCCGCCATGTCTGACAAGGCTCTGGGGAAGCCACTGAGATTGTGCCCCAGCACAGGGACTCTGGTTATTCTGCCCTGTGCCGGTTCTTCTAGTAGCCTGAGGTGGGTCCAACTGATGAAGTTCTGGGGGTTTCTGTGGTTTCTGTGGGCCTCTCTGATGCCTGAACATGGCTGAGTGCCAGCCCAGGGTACCGTCAGGATGCCAGTATCAGTTCCGGCCCAGAAGGTGTTCCCCATGCCAGTTCCTTGAAGAGATGTGCAGCTGGTCTCACCAGTCCCCAGGATATATGAGGGGAAGATAGAACTTATATGTAGAATACCGCAGAGTCTTACATGCCTAGGGGGAACAGGTTTTAGGAGCCTGGAGCTTGAAAAGCCCAGGCACAGAGCAGTCCTCTGAGCCCCTGACAGCACAGGTGCCTTTCTGGGCCCCATGGACACCATCCACTTTGATGGTCAGTGCTCACCAGGCAGTCTTGGGCATGCTCTGTCTTCTAGTATACCACCCCAAGAGGCCATGAGCCATTGAGGGCTGGCCGAAGGAAGGTCCACTTTCACCTCTGGTGCTGCAGTGCTCTACCTGGTGTTGACCTCAGAGCCAGCACTCAGAGAAGTGACTTGGAAAGCCTGCCAAGAGGTAGAATTCACAAAGGAAGTATAAGGCGGTACAGGGATCAAGTCCTGCAGGTGACCACAGCTGAAGAATCATGAGCTCCAGAATGGGAAAAGGACCAAATGGAGGGCTGGGATGTATCCAATTCGAGTTCAAGGAAGTTCCTAGAATCCTGGATTATGAGTCTCGGGAGGAACAGTACCACTCGTGGATATCCAGGACTTGAACTGAATAATGGAACACGAGGGTGAACAGAATCTCCCAGAATACTCCAAAGTAAGAAGTGGGTCTGACAACAGAGTATCAATAATGAGAATTGACATAGTGGTCTCAGTGGTGAATCCAGATGCTAGGAAACCATGTCACTGTGACCTTTGATCCTTAAAGGGTAGGCGATTTCCAACCTAGAATTCCTTACACATCCAGACTCTGCCCAGTCCACAGTGCTAGTGGTCTGAAAACCAACGCATCTTTCACTGTCAGCCAAAATTTTATCTCCTGAGCACCTGTTCTGATGGAGCTACTATAGGATGTGCTCCACCAAAACCAGGGAGGAGTGTAAGAAGGATCACCAATAAATGGGGTGTGGGGGAAGATGAGAGGGCTCCACAGGTAGCAGGATATCCAGCAAAGGTGGAAAAGTCACCAGTTTAAGTAGTGCAGGAGGACAGTGAAGGGAGACACACAGATGATAGCTTTGCAGCCACCCAGCGTGCAACTAGTCCAGATCATAGCAGGACAGGAGACTCCTGGAGGGATGTCTTCCAGAAGGTGAAATCCATAGATCACTTGTTGTGTTTGAATATCCTCACAGAACCTTGTCACTTTTGATAGTACCTCTGTGGGCTTCTCAGTGATCATCACACAGAGAACAAAATGAAACCACAGAGAAGAGGAGAGAGAAAGAAGGAAAACATGACAGACTCAAGACCAAGTTGGATTCCATGGACAAGGAGAGTGGAACAAGATCAGCAATGGAATCAGGATCCAACAACTGGATCAGCTTTCAACTGGGTTTACAAAGTGATTCAAACCATAAACTGCAAAAATAGACTCCACCACAAACAGCACACACTTGCATGGGAGCAAGGCAGGTGGGGAGAAAAGCTTGAATACTCCTCTGAGTTTGGAGGGCCCTCTAGTTTATGCCCCCATGTACATGGATAATGTCACCAGATGATGTCTCTATGTCCAAAGTTGGAACCTAGTGATTTGGGCATGTTCTGTACAAATGGAGACTGGCTGCAGTTTCTTTAGAGGCCAGCCAGGTAGAAATCTCTGACTTTTTCAGAATGCGTTTCAGGATGCTGCTGAAGTTGAATCAGTCAGGAAGAAACCGGGTCCTTCTCACTTTTCATCAGCAAGTAGAGAAATGGATTTAACTTGTCAAAGCAGAGGCGGAGATATTCCAGGATTGTTCATTTCAGGTCTTCACCTTGCCAAATTTCTGGAGACATTTTTTATTCCTTGAGGACATTTTCCTCTGGCATCCAGAGTTATAAAGGAATACCACATTTCGCATTTCTCCCAAACATGGCGGCTACTGAGGCCGCACCCCCATGGCTCCCTGAGCCTGGCAGGGCTGCTGTCTGGGGCTTCTTTGTCAGGAAGCCTGGCTCTGTGGCTTTCACACCAGCTCTGGAGGTGGCCTGTTCAGGGCACAGAGTCCTCTGCGTGCCCCCAACCCACCCTGTTCACTTCACGGGCCCATAAGATAGAACTAGAGGGGCTTGAGACTATGCTCAAAAAGCCTCCGCTTGAAGGCACTGTTGCTCCACAAATGCCAAACACCTCTTGTCCATTGGCCTCTCCCTCCGCCCTTTCTTGATTAAAAAAACGCCAGGGAAGGGCCAGGAGCCATCCAAGCCTTCAGGTGGGGTTTACTGCATTGAGGTGTTAGGAAAAATGTTTTCTCTTTCTTTCTGAGTTTTTGCTTAGACTACATGTGTGTATTTGTGTATATGCATATATAAATATCAGTATAAGTATATATGCATGTTTATCTTTACTTATTGCTGCATCTATTTCTATAAGACCCTGTCGAAGAATTTCTAAGAGCAAAAGCAAAGTTAGAACAATACTAGAGATTTATTAGTCTGTCATACAATTCATGAATCAGACAACACAGAGCATTGGGACTGAGTGTTGCAAGATAATGGGGGCAATGTTCAGGTTTTTTTAGTCCAGGGAACAAAGAAAGTCAGGGAAGTCCAGGCAGTTTCAATTAATCTTTCAGATATTCATCAAAATATTCCTTGAAGTCCTTTTTTCTTTGGAAATGTCAGTTTCACTAACAAGATGAACGAAGTAGATTTTCAGGTGACTAGTCATAGGTTTCTCTGGAATGTAGGGGCTATAGAGACAGGATACTGATTACACATAAATATAAACAAATAAGTCAGCTATTTCCTCTGAAAGCTAGGTTACTTATTATCTTAAACTTTTGCCCTATGAGTTTAGGCTTTTGACCATGTTCTCCAGGCTTGGCATAAGTGACTCCATCTTGTTTTTACTTTGCATAGCCAAAGAATTCCATGTCAGAATTCCATGTTACCAGGGACCCATTCTTTGGTACACAGGTGTTGATATATAGGTCTTCTTGGGTAGGATTTTGGCTTTTACAAAAAATTCGCTAGTGGCTTGACTCAAGACTAGTATGTTGATTTCTCCCTTATCATTGCCTCACTGGCTTTTCCAGACTCATGAGCTACCCAAGAGCAAGGACCCAGGAGCCTAGCCCAGAGAGAGGGTGGGCCATTGTGGCATCTGTAGTAATTAACACTGACTGTAGCAGGTAGGGGAAACCCTGATGGTGTAGTGGTTAAGAGCTACAACTGCTAAGGTCAGCAGTTCAAATCCACCAGATGCTCCTTGGAAACCCTATGGGACAGTTCTGCTCTGTCCCATAGGGTCAATATGAGTTGGAATCAACTCGAAGGCAAGGGTTTTTTTTTTTTGTTTTCAATGGTAGGTAGGAAGGAGCCCTGGTGGTGCAGTGGTTAAGCACTCAGCTGCAAACCTAAAGGTCAGGAGCTCGAACCCACCAGCGGTTCTGCAGGAGAAAGACATGGCAATCTGTTTCCGTAAAGTTTACAGCCTTGGAAACCGTATGGGTGAGTTCTACTCTGTCCTATAGGGTCACTATGAGTTGCTTTTTTAAAATTATTATTATTGCAGGTAAGAAACAGTGAAGTGGATGACTTGGGCTCACCTTTAGGGGTTATTTATTGCCCATTTGGTGCCCCCAGTTGGAGATCCTTGGGTCAGAAGAAGACCCCAATGGTGCCACACAGGCAGGTGACCACTGAGAGGGCTATTTGTTTTTCAGTCTCTACTTAAAGCTCTCCATGAAAGATTGGCTGTGTTACACACTCACAGCCCCACACATACAGTATTGTCTTTCCCTGCCATGGAGGTGCCACTGTGGATAAAGCCTCATCCCACTCAAAAAAACATTCATTACCATTGTACTAGGTCCCCTTCCAAGCCCTTTCCTCTCCCTTTCACCCCTTCTCCCAACCCTCCTTAAACTGGGAAACATTTAATTTTTCCATCTGTATGGCTCAGCTTTCAATAGGGTTTACAAGGTGATCCAAATCCTAAACACAGATCATGGACTCAAATGCAAACAGTGTGCAATTCCATAGGAGCATGGCTAGAGGGGGGAGAAGCTTGTGTACTTCTCTGTCTGGGTATGGAGGGTGCTCTAGTTCATGCTCACAATTAATGATCACTAGACTAGTAACGTCACCAGATCATGTCTATATGCACAACCTAGAAGCCTAGGGCGTTGAGTATGTTATGTAGAAATGGAGACTGTGAATACACAGTTTCTTTAGGAGACTGGTAGAGACACTGACTTTTGAAAGGATGCATGCTGATGGGTCGCCTGAACGTGGAAAGAGTCGGGAAGAAAAGAGGTTCTCACTTTTCAGCCACGCATAGAGAAATGGATTTAACTTGTCGACTCCCAGGTGGACATAGTCCAGGATCATTCGTTTCAGGTCTTCGTCTTGCCAAACTTCTGGAGACATTTTTTTCCCCTTGAGGACATTTTCCTTTGTCATCCAGAGTTAGGGAGGAATACTACGTTTCTCATTTCTCTCAAACATGGCGGCCACCGCGGCCACGCCCCATGGCGACCGAGCCAGGCAGGCCTGGCAGTCTGGGGCTCCTTGTCATGAAACCGAAACTCAGCCTTGCGGCTTTCACACCCAGCCAGGAGGTGGCTCGGTCAGGCCCCTGAGCTCTAGGAGTGCCCCCAACCCACTCTTCCTCATATCACAGACCTTCTCAATAAGATACAGCTAGAGAGGCTTGAGACTGAGCTCAAAACATCTCCGCTTGATGGCAATGTTGCTCCATAAATGTGAAACACTCCTCCTCCAGTGCCTCTCCCTCCACCTTTTCTGAACTAAAAAACACCAAGGAAAGGCCAGGAACCCTCTAGGCCTTCTAAGTGGGATTTACTGCATTGGGATATGAGGGGATTGCTTTCTTCTTAGATTATTTGCTGGGAATATACATGTATATATATATATAAATACATATATATGTGCACATATACGGAGCTCGGGTGGCCTACTGGTTAAGAGCTGGGCTGCTAACCAAAAGGTCAGCAGTTTGAATCCACCAGTCCGCTCCTTAGAAAACCTATAGGGCAGTTCTATCCTGTCCTGTAGAGTTGCTGTAAGTCAGGATCCACTACAGGGCAACAGGTTTGGTTTGTTGTTTTTGTGCACATTATACATACACCAAAACAACAACAACAAACCCATTGCCTTCCAGTGGATTCTCACTCATAGGTACCCTATAGGAAAGAGGAGGACTGCCCCACAGCGTTTCCAAGCAGCGGCTGATGGATTCAAACTGCTGACCTTTTTGTTAGCAGCCCAGCTCTTAACCACTGTACCACCAGAGCCCCATATACATACACATACATATTTAGATATAGATTTATCAGTATTTGTGTACATACTTGCTTAACTACCTGATGCTACATCCGTTTCTTTAGATTTCTAAGTAAATTCCCTGTTAAGAGGTACCCAGTTTTTTGGGCACGGGTATAGATAGATACACAGGCATTTTGGGGTAGGATTTTAGTTTTCACAGGAAATTGACTTGTGGCTTAGGTTGGGATGAGAATCTTGATTTCCTCTCTCATCATTTGCTCCTTGGCTTTTCTAGACTCATTGAACTACCTCATCCAGGGCAAAGACTCAGAAGCCTGGCCCCAGAGAGGAAGTAGGCCATTGTGGCACTAGGAGTTGTGACCTCCTTGGCAGGTCAGAAGGTAATGAGGGTGATGCTCTGGCCACCATCAGGGGACCCAGGTAGTAGGTAGTCCCTCCCCCATTTAGTGTCCCAATTTGGAGGTCCATGGGTCAGAAGGATAATTCAGTGGTTCCACAGGGGCAGCTGACCACCATGAGGGCCATTTGTTTTAGTGTCTACTGTAAAACTCAGGTCTGTGGGTGGTGAAAACAGTTAAGCCCTGGACACTTACCTAGAAGGTTGGTGGTTCCAAACCACCCAGAAGCTCCTGGTAAGACAGGCCTGGCTATCTGCCACCAAAAGCTCACAGCCTTGAAAACCATATGGAGCAGCTGTACTCTGCACACATGGGGTTGCCACGAGTCAGAATCAACTGGATGGCAACTAACAACATCAACAACTTTAAAACCCTACGCGAAGGTTTGGCTGCATCCTACACTCACAGCCCCTCATACATACATACATATATACAAATACACACGTATTTGTATATACGTACAAAGAGAAACAGAGAGAGTATGGTTTTGTCTTTTACTACCATGTACTTGCCACTTTGGATACAGCCTCATCCCATTCAAAGAAAATATACATTACCATTGTATTAGGACCACTTCCAATCCTGGTCCTCTCTCTCCTTTCACCCCTCATCCCAACTTCCCTTACAGTGTGAAGCATATTTAATTTTTCCTCGTGTTTGCTTTCGATGTTTAACACTCATGAGGGCAAATACAGATTCATGTTTGTATTTCACCTTTTCACCTACCCCAGAGGGTAGAATGAGCAATATATTCTTCTTCATTGCTTTCACGGAATATATGGCCTGGCCTTTGCACATCTGTGCAGAGAAAACATCCTGCTAGATCGTTTTCATTTCCTTTCTAACAACTACTTAGTGGTTCCTTGTCTGAAGGTGGTTAGGGCCAGAGGTGATTTATCCAGGGCTTCTCCTTTGACACGAGATTTAGTATAACCTTTCTTCCTGCCTGCCTTCATTTTTTCTCCCTTCTATTTTTCCCTCTATCCCTTCTCTCTGTCTCTTGCTCTCTTTCCCCCTCTATATCTTTCCTCCTTTAATGACCCCCTTGAGGCAGAGTATAATTTCATGATAGTGTGAGTATGTGTGTACATACATGTCATATTGTAAATGTCAACCCAGAGGTAAGTAGTAGGATGAAGTATAATAGGGCCTCATCCTAGAATAACTTTATTCCTCGAAAGACAATGTGGTTGATATCTGTGAGGCCATAAGGGAGAGATCTGGTTGCCATTCATCATTGAGTCAAAGTACCTGATGATCTGTGGAAGGTCTGGTATTCCAATTGTGGTGGAGGAAACAGGCTGGTGAATATGTTCATCTGTGTTCTGGCACGTTCACAAATGCACAGAGTGGAGGAGGAAAGAGATCTGTGGTTATCAGGTCAAAGTGAACATTGTGCTTCCCACAGAAAAGAGATTTCCAGGGCAGATAGTTTCAGATTTCACAGGCGCTGGTTCTGTAAGATCCAATTTTTTCCAACACCCTGAACGATATTTGTGGAATTTGCAAAAGAGGAACAGATTTGAAATTCATATCACGATTTATTAATTGTTGGTTTTCGTATTCCTCATCTAGTAGCATTAAAAACAAAACCAGAAAGTAACAAATCTATATCTATTTTCAGGTGAGCAAATAATATGTGCTGACTGGATTGATTGTACATGGACACCATTTCACCATCACTCTGGTGATCACAAATCAAGTCATGTTATTTGGGTCTCTTGGTACAAAGGAAACAGACTAGAAAAAAAGGACAAGGATCACTGGTCACCTCTAGGCTGTGGTGTCCTGGGTGAGGGCACTTTTCTCTTTCATTTTCCTTTCAAAACCAGATTGTACATGACAGTGAAGTCTGTCATCTTATAAAAATGGAGTCGAGAAAATCTCATCAAGATCAAGGAGAGACTCCCAACGTAGATGTATGGCACAGTGACATTGGTGTAGGATTCAGTGCTTTTCCAACATGGTAGAAAAGTATCTTGAGGAGCCCTGGTGGTAGAGTGGTTGAAGTGCTCAGCTGCTAACTGAAAGATTGTTGGTTCAAGCCTTTCCACTCTAAAAAGATATGACAGTCTGCTTCCATAAAGATTACAGCCTTGGAAACCCGATGGGGCAGTTCTATTCTGTCCTATAGGGTTGCTATGAGTCAGAATCAACTCAGTGGCAGTGGGTTTTTGGTATCATTATATTTCAGAGCATCTGGTTCTCTAAGATCTGATTCTTGGCAGCATCCATGAATTGTAGGTGTGTATTTTCCAAAAGAGGAATGAAGTTGAAATTCATATCAAACTGGCTTTTTGGTTAGCGGTAGGAAAACTCAAGTTGGAATGTTCCCTGGTGGGCGGTCAGGCACTGTGGGTGAACTCTGTGCAGGAACGCAGTCTATTTCTTGAGGTCTCAGTTAAGCTGGACCCTAAAGATGTAGATATGGATGCTTAGGTCCGTTCACCCAAAGGGCGCGTGGGTGAGGAATCATTCCTCCTTGTCAGGAAAGAAAGAAACCTAATGTGCCCCTATAGAGGCAAGAGCTTGAGAGACTCAGCACAAGATAAGGGGTTAGAGCCCCAAAAGTGGAGAAGATGGTGAGGCACCATACTTTAGGGAAGCTGGAGACTTTTTTCAACAGCAAAGGGTGGAGTGTGAGGGCCTTGGAGACGAGCGCACAGGTATTTCTGGTGCAATACTGCCATCAAGCGGATATTGTTTCAGAAGATCACGGACCCACCACTGTTGCTTCCTAGGGAGGCATCGGATTAGAGGAAGTTAGGGTCCTAGGCATCTCAATCAAAGAAAATATATACATTGCCATTGTATTAGGACCACTTCGAATCCTAGTCCTCTTTCTCCTTTCATGCCTCGTCCCAGCTTTCATTATAGTGGGGTGCCCCTTATGCAGAGCTCCCTGAGTCATGGGGCAAGTGTGGCCCTAGGTGGGGGCCTAACCAAGAAGCTGGGAAGGTGGGCCAGGACGAGGCAGATGGCGATGGTGCCAGGCACTTAGGATACAGGAAGCCAAGGCTCAGCCCTTAGTGGCCGCCATGTCTGGGCGGGACTAGTGCATGCCTCTGGGAAGGCACCTCAGCACTGGGCCAATATATGAACAAATCTGTCTTGGAAGAAATACAGCTAGAATGCTTCTTAGAAGCGAGTTTGGCGAGACTTCATCTCATGTTCTTTGGACATGTTATCAGGAGAGACCAGTGCTTGGAGAATACTGAGCTTGGTAAATTAGAGGGTCAGTGAAAAAGAGGAAGACCCTCGAGGAGATTGACTGACATACTGGTAACAACACTGGGCTTAAACATAGCAAGGATTCTGAGCATGTTGGAGGACTGGGCATTGTTTCCTTCTGTTGTACATAGGGTCTCTATGAGTTGGAACCGACTCAACAGCACCTAACAACAACAACATAACTTCATAGTTATGATACTTGGAGTGCATGTGTAGATAACATTTTACATTTTAACGGTTAATCCAGAGGTAAGTAGTTTGATAACTTATCACGGGTCTACATCCTACAATGAGTACCTTTGATACACATGTGGTTGGTATCTGTCAGGCATATAGGAGAGATCTCTTTCCCATTTACAAGTGAGTCCATTTGTGGTGGAGGACACAAACTTGGGAATACATTCCCATATGTTCTCCCATAGTCACACAAGTACGGAGGAGCAAGGAAGATCAGTGACTGTACAAGTCAAGTTGATGATTGTGCTTCCCAAAGAAAAAGACATTATCAGGATGATATGTTTATATTTCAGAGCATCTGGTTCTCTGTGATCTGATTCTTGGCAGCATCCATGAATTATAGGTATGTACTTTCCAAAACAGGAACAAAGTTGAAATTCATATCAAATTGGCTTTTCAGAAAGTTATAAGAAGGCTCAAGTTGGAGTGTTCCCTGGTGGGCAGTCTAGCGTTGGGTGGCTGGAACTCTGAAGGGAACAATCCATCTCTTGTTGTTTGGTGCCATCAAGTCGGTTCCAACTCACAGCAATACTGTGTACAACAGAATGAAAACACTGCCTGGTCCTGCACCATCCTCACGTTATGCTCGAGCCCACTGTGCAGCCACTGTGTCAATCCATCTCACTGAGGGTGTTCCTCTTTTTCACTGACCTTCTACTTTAAAAATCATGATGTTCTTCTCCAGGGACTGATCCCTCCTGATAACATGTCCAAAGTATGTGAGACATAGTGGTAACAATGATGGGCTCAAACATAGCAAGGATTGTGAGCATGTTGCAGGACCAGGCATTGTTTTGTCCATTGCTTAAGGTCCCAGTTAAGCTGGAGCACTAAGGATGCAGATATGGATGGCTTTAGGTCTGTTCACCCACAAGATGCCTTGGTGGGGAGGAATTCCTCCTAGTCTGTAATTGAGGAAAACTTATACCCCCTTACAAAAGCAAGTACTTGCGATACTGAACATTAAGATATGGGAGCTGGAGCTCCAAAAGTGAAGAAGATGGTGAGGCACCATGATTTTGGAACAGTCGACATCAACTGACTTTTTGTTTTTTTCTGATAGCAAAGGGCGGAGTGTGAGTTCCTGGGGAAAGACCGCGCCTGTATGTCTGGTGCAATACTGCCATCAAGCGGAATTTGTTTCCAAAGCTCACAGGCCCACCACTGTTGCCTTCTGGGGAGGCCAGAGATTAGAGGAAATCAAGGTCCTAAGCACAACTAAAAGCAGGGTCTAGCATGTCCACAGCTCCCTGAGTCAGGGGAAATTGTTGTCTGAGGCTGGAGCCAACCCAAGAAGCTGGAGAGGTGGATCAGAATGAGGTCACAGCCTTGGCGCCAGGCATATTGGGCAATGGAAGCCAACACTTAGCCCTTGGTGGCCGCCATGTCTGGGTGGGACTAGTGCAAGCTACTGGGAAGGTAATTCAACCCTGGGCTCTGGGCAATTTGCCTTATACCCCTGGCCCCAGGAGCAGGAGGTGGGTCAACCTTTGTGGTCCCAGGGCCACAGGACAAGGAAGCCCAATAAAGACCATGCCTTGTCCCCAACCCAGTCCTCATATCACAGGCCCTATAGGGTCTTTATGAGTTGGAATTGAATCAATGGCAATGGATTTGGGTTTTTTGTTTTTCTTTTTGGTATCCAGGAGATAAGGAGCCCTGGTGGCAAAATGGTTAAACACTCAGCTGCTAACCAAAAATTCTGAGGTTTGAACTAATAAGTTGCTCTGCGGGAGAAAAGACCTGGTAATAGGCTCCTGTAAAATCTTCAGTCTAGGAAACCCTATGGGGCAGTTCTACTCTGTCCTAAAGGGTCACTATGAGATGGCCCACATATTCAGGAGAGACAATGTGTAGGGCTCGAGACCATGCTCAAAAAACTTCCGCATGATGGCACTGTTGCTCCACAAATGCCCAACACTCCTTCTCCAGTGCCTCTCCCTCCACCCTTTCCCAAGTAAAAAACACCAAGGAAAGAACCAGGCACCCTCCAGGCCTTCCAAATGGGGTTTACTGCATTAGGATATTAGGGGAAATGTTTTCCTTTTAGACTATTTGCTTGGTATAGACATTTATGTAAATTTGAATAAATATATGTATATATGCACATATACATATATTTATACATATGATTAACAGTATAAATGTTTAATAATTATAAGTATTTGTGTACATACTTGTCTGTTGCTACACCTATTTATTTAGACTTCTAAGTCAATTCCATGTTAACGGTACCAAGTTTTTTATGCACAGATATACAGGTCTTTTTGGGTAGGATTTTAGCTTTCACAGGAAACTGACTCATGACTCTTATCGTTGGCTCACTGGTTTTTCTAGACTCACTGAGCTTCCTCATCCAGGTCAAGGACTCAGGAGCCTGGCCCCAGACTGGGAGTAGGCCATTGCGGCATCAGGAGTAATGAGCAGTGGTCATGGCAGGTCAGAAGGCAGTGAGGGTAGACCCAGGTAGTAGGCAGTCATTCCCCATTTGGTACCCAGTATGGAAGTCCTTGGGTCAGAAGTACAGTTCAGTGGTTCCACAGGAGCAGGTGACCTCTGTGAGGACCATTTGTTTTACAGTCTCTACTGTAAAACTTGGGTCTGTGGGTGGCACAAATGGTTAAGCCCTGGACACTTAGCTGGAAGGTTGGTGGTGTGAACCCACCCAGAGGCACCTGGTAAGACAGGCCTAATTATCTGCCTCCAAAAACTGACAGCCTTGAAAACCATATGCAGCAGCTGTACTCTGCCTAAAAGGGTTCGCCATGAGTTGGAATCGACTTGATGGCAACTAAGAACATCAGCAACTTTAAAACTGTATGTGAAGAATTGGCTGCATCATACACTTACAGCCTCTTGCGCATACATATATACATAAAAATACTCAGAAACACATTATATACATATGAGAGAGAGAGAAAGAGAGAGATTGTGATTTTGTAGGTGCCACTTTGGATACAGCCTCATCTCATTCAAAGAAAATATGCTTTACCATTGTATTAGGACCACTTCCAATCCTGGTCCTCTCTCTCCTTTTACCCCTCATCCCAACTTTCCTTATAGTGTGAAGCATGTTTAATTTTTCCTTGTGTTTGCTTTCAATGTTTAATACACATGAAGGCAAATACAGATTCATGTTTGTATTTCACCTCTTCACCTACCCCACAGGGTAGCACGAACAATATATTCTTCTTCTTCATTGCTTTCACAGAATGTATGGCCTGGCCTTTGCACATCTGTGCAGAGAAAACGTCCTGTAGGTTGTTTTCATTTGCTTTCTACCAACTACTTAGTATTCCCCTGTGTAAGGGTGGATAGGGGCATAGGTGGTTTATTCTGGGCTCCTCCTTTGACAGTAAGTTTAGTGTGACCTTTCTTCCCACCTGCCTTCATTTTTTCCTTACTTTCTTCTATTTTCCCTCTATACACATCTCTGTCTCTTTCTCTCTCTCCCCCTCTCTATCTTTCCTCCTTTAATGACCTCCTTGAGGCAGAGTATAATTTCATGATAGTGTGAGTATGTCTG